GAAGAATACATTTTTTTATGACATCCTTTCTAAGAAGGTTTACCTCCAGGTGTTGCTGCTTTTGCTAATTTAAAACACTTGGACTATGTGTGTCGTCTTCATAAATCTTTGTATGGTCACCACTCACCATTAATGAACATTTAAGCATGCATAAAAACTTAATAAGAAGAAAGGTGTGAACTTTATACCTTCAGAAGCTTGAATGATCAACTCTCTACCAACAACTCTACTAACAAGGAATGACCACCTTCTTCTTCTCCTATAAGCTCTCAACCACTTGAAACACCAGGAACACACACACACATAGACACACACTCAACTTAGGGTTTCTCTTTGGAGGGTGGAGGTTGAGAATGAGCTGAAATCCTAATCATAAGGTTGCTTAAATAAGGCTCAATGCCCGAAATCTAGGGTTTTGAGCCCAACTGCCACCGCGCCGCCACTTAATGACATGTCCCGAAACATGGTCCACTGCTTACCGCGCCGTGGTGTCGGGAAAATCCCAAAATTCTCAACTTACAAAATAAAGACTTGTATCTAGAAATGTGGATGTTACAGATAAGTTGGACATAATTGATTCAAAGTTTTATTTGACACTGGAAGAGAAAAATGATTAAGCATAGGCTGAAGTAATCGTGGATGAGGATGTCCCAAGCATTGGTGCCACGTATCATTTGAGGCACGTTCAACAAATAATTTGATCAAGTTTATTGACTGAGGTTGAGGAAGGTTAAGCGTATAGAGTCCATGACCGATGATGAAGGTAGTTTGAGTGAACGAATCCTTCACAAAAAAGAAATGAGCATAAAATTCAAAGTGGTCATTATTATCAGGGCAAATTTTTTGAACATATAAAAGATTTTTAGAGATGAAAGGAAAGTGTAAATATTTGACAAGTGAAAGTGTTTGTATGGTGAGTGAATATTACTTGAGCCTACATGGAGAATAGGAAGACCTTTACCATTACGAACGTGTAGAGTGTTAGGGACTTGATAGGCTTTAGAAAAATCCAAGTTGGACAAGTCATGAGATACATGGCTCTTTGCTCCAGTATCAAATAACCAGGTTGGAGCCAAAGATGATATCTGATTGCTGCTAAAATGAGCAGCATGTTGAGGTTGTGGACTTGTATTGTTTCGATAACTTTGACATTGGGCTGGAAGATGATGGATTCCACACTGTTGACAATGTCCATAAATAGTATTTTGAATGGACGCTCAACTAAAGTCGGCTCCATGACTTCGTCCTCCACGGCTGCCACTACGATTATTGGTTCTGCCACAATTACCACGATTGCCACCATGACTATTTCAATTACTGTAGAAGGCATGTGGCGGTGTGACTGTTGGCACCAGATTTAGGCCTAAGGCATGAGCTTGAGCTATCAACTAATTATAATTTGAATTGAAAGCTACTTGGTTAGCTGGTTGGTTCTTTGATACATGTGCATTGGTGTGGACATTATATGCTTGATTTATGTTTGTTTTGGATCTCCTGTGAACAAATTCATGATCCACATGAAGAGCTTGAAGACCGTCGATGTGAATGACAGTACCATGAGCAGTAAGATTGGTAACCAGTCTCTTTAGTTTTGTACGAGGTGATAATCCAACTAGAATTGTTAGAACCAGACCCTTCTCACGTACCAATTCACCAATTGAGGCAAGGGAATCAACATATCCTTTTTCACATTGTAGGTAGGCCGCAATAAACTCATCACTTTCAATTTCAAGTTTGAGAAGATTGGTTTTAAGGGCGAGTTCACAGGAGAGAGTTGTAGGTTCATAGGCACAGTGTAAAGCATACCATATTTAATGGGACATGTGTTTTCAATAAAAGTTACCATAGTTTTGCTCTGAGATTGATGATAACAAAACCATCTTTATATAAACATCGTTTTTTGTCCAGATGTAGTTCGAAAAGATCGAGTAAATGAAATGAAATCAGAGTTTAGATTGAATCATGAACACAAGGAGTAAATATGATATGGATGGCTCAATTAAACTTCTGAAGGTTACAAGAGTTTTTCTTAGAGTAAGAACAACGAAGGCTCAAAAGTTACTCTATCTCTAGTACTAATCCCTATTTATAGGAATGACAGAAGTTTACAAAAAATACATAAGGGCTAAAACTATTAAGCTTCGACATACAAAAATGCCCCTATGAAATACATACAACGAAAGCTGACAAACAGTCTTCGACACTAAGACAGACTCATGACCCTTCGACACCTCACAACACCATTCAACCTCAACATTCTCCCCTTTTGTAAGCAGTGTCGAGTCCTAGGTCATTAGCATCTTCGTTGCCTGATGAAGAACCCTTTTAATCTCCATGTACTAAACAATTGATTTGCGAACCTCAGCTTTATCTCCTTCCGTATTCTTCTTGAAATTATTGATACGAACAAGTAGATTCGTATACTGAGAATTAGTGTATGTTTCAACATCCTCAACTTTGAATATAAACTTTGTATTCTTGTTGTTTTTATTCTTCCCCACAAAAACTATTTCCCAATGGTTTAAGATAAATTTCACCATCATCAAAATTCTTCAAGCTTCCCACACCTTTCAACAAAGATTGTGGCAAATAATTTTTTTCCCATCGCCAAAGCTAACTCCACATCCGTTAAGGGAAGACAATCATAATAATTGTCAATGAAAAGCTTGATATGTGCAAACCCAAGCAAAATCTTCTTTTCTAGTCACCTGAAGTTTCGAAGCATCAACCCCACTTAGAATTTTTGCCACACAGATGAGATCATTAAGATTCATCAAAGGAAAATCAGCTACAAATAAATCACAAGCCACATTATTGGCACAAACTACGTGAAAACGAAAGTTTTGCAATAACGCTTCGAATAACTAATCCTTGGTTATACCCAATACCTTGACAATCTTTACTAATGACCAAATCTCTTCTTTTTTCTTTCCAAGTACTGCATGAAACCTTATTTTCAGCTTCTTGAATTCTTCGTTGTCTTCGAATTTGTTTATTAATTGATACTGAGCTGATATGAACGTCATATGGTTGATAGGAAAATCCAGTTGATTGAAGTTTGAATTTTCTATCTCATAACTTTTTTTTGGGACCTTGAGAAAAATATGCATGTTACCAAGAGAAACAATATGTTCGATTGTCTCGTAACAATATGGTTTTGTTGGGTCACCCTTCTCAAGACCAGGTGGGTCTCCTTGCCTTTGTCTTAGAATACTTTGAATTTTCCTTTGTCTTTCCATTTCCTTTTCTAAGGCAATTTTATTTTCTTCTTCAGCTGGATCAGTTTGAATACCCTTCCCTCTTCCTTCTATTTCTTTCTTTGATGGAGGTGGCTTCGAACTTGATCCACCAGCAGATGAACCAATAACAATACCATTGGTTAAAGGCTTCAAAGTCATGGTAGTTTAGGTAGTTGACATTGAAGTTGGTAGAGAAGTAGGAATCTAAGTACTGATAACCTTTCCTACATCTTTTCCTTGAGAAGGAATGTTTGATGAACCAGTATCAACACCTTTCGAAACCCCAGAACCACCCTTTTCTCCCCTTGCACCCCTGTTTTAACAGGTGGGGCATCCGAAGGCATCAAATTAACAAACTTCATAAGAGGAGCTAGATCAACCCTCAGTTTAGACTCTAGCAAAGAAAACATGTTGGACAATGCTTCTTGGGAAATTGAAGATGAAGGAGAAACATTAATTTTCGAAATTAACTCCTTCACATTCCCCAATAATTCTTCTATCTTGGCAAAACCTTTCGAATCAGATTCTGACTTCAAATCAACTCTGGTGATAAGAGAATTAGAGAACTCAACAATCTTCTTAACTGCATCAGCAACTATATCAACCTTAGTATGAAGATTGGAATAGTTGTGATCAACCTTGGCAACTTCCTTTGTCATCTCAGAATGAAGTTCTTCTATTTTGAAATTAACATCCTCCTGCACTCTCTTTACAGCTTCAACAAAAAGAAGATGTCTTTCCTTAGCAATTGCCCTCAAATCTTTAACTTCATGATTAAAAGAATCAGATTGTCGCTTCAAACGCGTTTCATTCTTCGTATCAATCTGCTCCATGATGATTTTCAAACAATGTTCTTGGGCTTTCAACAGAACACCGACTTCAATCTCGGACACAATGTTACGGCTTCCTGTATCAGCTTGAAGTTGAAGCAAAGAAGTCAACTTGCGATTCAGAATTTTAAATTGTTTTCCTGATATCAACATGCGATTAGGAATATTCTCCTCCTCAGGATCAAACTGAATATCGCCAAATGAAACCATATAATCATCATCATCCTGTTCAACCTCAGAAGTAGACTTTGGACCATCGGTTGATTGAGAAGGAAACAAAGAAGTGATAGGATGATCCATAACATGAACAAATGTGGGTGAAAAAGTGGAAGCTGGTAACGAAGTAGGAGTAGGTGAAGTTGGTGTAGGTATTATATATGGTGGTAAAGAAGTGGAGGTATCAATAACAATGGTTTCGAATGTGGATGAAGTAATGATAGAAACATGAATAAATGAAGTAGAGACATTTGAAATACCTTGAGCTTCGTGTGTCGACATCCCATCACCCATATTAACATTTGTGTCCATATTAGATATGTCCACAGTGATGTCTGAAGTTCGAACCTCCTCCGGAATGGACTTAGCAATCGAAACTTCGGGTGGTTTGACCTGTGTCTGCTCAGGGATGGATGGATTAAAAGGATCACCCAGATTAGTGGTTGTGTCCACATTAGATGTTTTCACATTGCCACTAGGACTTCTAGTCGCCTCGTTATTCGACTTGACATAAGAATCCCTCTGAAATGATTTGAAACCGATGCCGTCAATTCAAATTGTAGACAGAGTACCCTCGTTTTCGAAATCAGACTCAACCACCACTTCGTCAAGTGACTCTTCCAACTTCTTTTGCTTCTTCTTGATTTTTTTACCAAATCACGAGCTCTTCGTTTCTTTGAATCCGGAGAAACTGGAGCAGAGATTTCGCGAATAATCACCCCTTTCGATTAATCTGAGGCTTTTGAATCTTTTGTATCTTGGATGCAAAAGACCCCTTAGGTGAAGAAATATTATGCATAGGAACATCTTCAATAATTGGCCTCAGATATGGTGAATGTCGAGGTCTATGGGCAGGCTTCTTCGTGCACTTTAAAACACCAGTCTTCGATGGCACGACCTCCGTTTGAGCATCCTGTACAATGGGTTCGTGAAATGGCTCTTTAACAGGCTTCGAAACAACTTTCTCAACAACCTCAGGAACAACTTTAGATTTTTTCAAACATGGAAGATTTCTTGGGACTTTTGCCATGTTTGGAAGTTCCGGCAATCCCTTTTGGTAGCAAAACACCGGTTTCGACAGTAGGATTGATTGATTGAAGATAAGCCACAAGAATTGGGTTTGTGGGATCAACCTTGCGAAGCATCACATCTGGAATTCTTGTAACATTGGGAAACACTTTCGAGTTATCTTCAACATTCTTTGGATGTTGATAAATCCCAAACTCAGTAGTAGGAACATCAACAGGAACAAAAATACCTTCCTTCTCATACACATATTGGAGAATGAGACTCCAATATCTTGCACACGAAACACCATTAGCTACGTTGGTGTGTGAGATACTGACACCAAATTCCTCCCATAGATGAGTAGCATAATCAACTTGTAAATCGTAATACAAACGAACAACCATGGCATAGATTTAAGTCTGACTTTATCCAAACCCACACTTCTGCCTGTCAAACATCGAAGAAAAAGATTCCAAAGAGGAAGTTCCACATACATGGTAAATATGATTTCTTGAACTAACTAAGTTTAGTGAGAAGGGGTTGATGTCACATCTCATTGAACATATGAAGTACTTGTTCATTGGTAACCTCATAGAAAGGACCAACATTGAGAATGTTCAAGATTTGAGCGAACTTGTTCTTCGAGAGCTTGTATTTCTTATCATTGGTTAACTAAAAAGTAACCACCTTAGAAGTTTTGTTGAACACAACAATAGAACTGGCCAACGATAACCAATTCATCGAAACTGAGAAGGAAGCCGTCATCACCATAGATAGAACTAAATGATTGAGAGACACAATCAACATTTGCAGTTCTTCAGAGTATTTCGAGAAACCAGGTTGAACCCTATAGTTGAATCCTTGAATCTTCAATAATGGTTGAGATGAAGCTTCATCTGTTGTTTGAGAAGGATCAACTGGAACATTTGTGGCCGCCATTGTTAGGGTTTGAAGGTTGTAGGGAATAAAGAAGTATAAGAAGAGAGAATTTTGGGGAAAATCTTTAGCCGGATCACGTAAAGTTTGAAGAAGATATCCAAAAAATCCTTTTATACTATGACCTCAAGTTTGAATTTGAATCGGTTAGCAATAAATGCTTGACGCGTGTATCCTTGAAAACCGGACGCGTAGTCGTAAAGATAGCTACGTCTGAAAAGTAATGAGCACTTTTCCTAGAAACCATAAAATAACTCAACCATCACATCAATCAGTCGTTTCGCGTACCCCAAGAGGATAAGAACCGTCACCACACCCTTCGTGTCGAGGTTGGGCTCATTCGCCTTTGGGATGAAAAACGAAATCATGGCCAGACGTTCGAAATCTAAGTTTGAGTTGGTATTACTCAAGACCTCAAGGATTTCTGGTACTAATGTGTGACAACGAATGAGTGGGAATCAAGATACAAAAAAATATGTGCATAAAGTGACATCAAATCATCGTTTGGTGTAAAAGCGGATGGATCCCGGGCAAAGATCACTTCATTCGACATCAAGAGAGATATCGAACTGTTTTTGTGGTTTCCCATGATATACAATAAAATACTCATAGAGGAGTATCGAAGGTCTTCTTTTAATAAGGTTTCGAAGGTTGGCACAATTTTGTTCATGATAACAAGTTAACATAAGTGTGGATTCGATGATCAAAATTACTTGTATGACCAGTGTAGTCAGTGACAAGTGAAAGTTAGAAAAATGTGTAAGTGACGAAGACACAAGTTGATATTAAGACGAAAATCATATTTCAAAAACAAAGAAGAATTGGATTCTATTGGGCAAAAATGTCTTGGAATAAGATCATTTTATCAAGACCACGCAAATCAAAAGAAATATGATTTTGAATATCGAAGAAAGGAAAAGAAACAAGTGTTTCGTTAAAATCTGGAACATGAAGTTCACCGTCAATGCCTTGAATGGTTGGAAATTTTGGGTTTCACCATCATCACGGTCTCATGAATCAGGATCATTAACATAGACTTGTGCGATATCTACATTCTGGTTGGTTTCTACCAGAGATGTTGAGGATATGCAAGTGAAGTGTGTGATTCGTGAAGAAGTATGTTGATGAAAAAGATTGTTCAAGAACCAGGATGTACCTCTGCGAATGATAAGGACCAAATAGAAATCTCTTAACTCAAGATGAGAAGAGAAAAGTAGCTCGTCGACTAATATGAATATAACCTAATTGGGAAGGAGCCCTCATAGTGAGTGATCCATTAAGGCTTCGACACACATTGAGTCTATGAGGCTTAGGTCGACATACAACAACATGTTTCTAGGGACGCCTAACAAATGAAAAGTTTAGAAATTATACATGTCCCTTCCAGTGACAAAGCAATGACCACCATATAATGTCGATTGAGATCGATCCTGATAAACATAAAACTCACAAAAGAAAAATATTTTTGGATTTTTGATTTTAGAATTGAAAGAACTAAAAATAAGAAAATCTTTTTGGAATTTTTGTTTTTGAAATTTAAAAACAGAAGAAAAGAAATATTTTTGGATTTTTGATTTTTTTTTGAAAAGTAAAAGAACAAAATATAAGAAAATGTTTTTGGTCTTTTTGATTTAGAAAAAAAACCAAACAAAATGAAAAACAAGACAGTGTTACCGGACGAACGAAACAAAGAACATCGACACAGACACATAAGTCATCGATATATCAAAGAAACTCAGATAACAAAGGATATTCTGAATGATTCAGCGATATGTCGAAATCGAAGCATGTCGAACGCTGAATAATGAACATTAACTTCTGATTCATTCAGCGAAGTGTCGACGCCTTGTTATTTCATGACGAAGAATCATTTGGAACAACAGTTGCATCAAGCATTCCTAGTCCAGACAAGATCCTAAGGAAATACTTTTCATCCAAAGACTTGGTAAAGATATCAGCAAGTTGATTTGTTTTTTTTCACAAACTGAACTTCTATATTTCCATCCTCAACATGATCCTTGATAAAATGATATCTAAGTGCGATATGTTTGGTGTTCGAATGTTGCAATGGATTATGACATATTCGAATGTCACTTTGTGAATCATTATATAAGGGTATCTTTTTCATGTTGATTGCGTAATCACGAAGCTGACTTTGAATCCAAATGATCTGAGAAGTGCAAGCTGCAACAACAACATATTCTGCTTCTACTGTGGAAATCGTAACACAGGTTTGTTTCTTTGATTGCCAACTCACAAGCTTCATGTCCAGTAATTGAAATCCACCAGTAGTGCTTTTCCTGTTGAGGTGGCATCCACCCAGTTTAGCATCTGAAAATGCTTGAATGAAGAAACCAGTCTTCGAAGGGTACCACAAACCCAACAAAACTGTTCCTTTGAGATAGAAAAAGATATTCTTTACAGCAGTTAGATGATGTTCCCTGGGATTTGACTGATACCTAGCACAATTAAAAACAACAAACATAATATCAGGTCGACTAGCAGTTAACACTACAACAAAAAGAGGTATTAGAGACTGACATAATCAGTCTCCGATGGTCAATAATCAGTCTCTGATGAGAATTAGGGACTGATTTAGCTAGTCCCCAGCTAGTCCCCGAAACCTAGTCCTAGATAGTCGAATTTTTATGTATCTGGGACTGAAAATCAGTCCCTAATACATCAAAGCATCAAAGATAGAAAATCAGTCTTTGATGATATCTCATTCAGTCTCTAATTTGTTTTCTTCAAATCCTTAATTTTGTTGTCATATCAGTCCCTAATACTATATTTCAGGGATTGAATATCAGTCCTATATAACATATCATTCAATCTCCAATATGTTTTATTAAAATCTCTATTTTATATCATTTACAACAATGATAGACATTTTACATTTACTTAAAACTATATATTGTTCTAAATATACTAATAGTCAATCTAAATAGCATTTAATGTTTCATAATAGAAAAAAATAAAAAATAAAAACATTATATATACAATGAAATACAATCCATTACACAAAAATCATACTTTATCAATTACAAAGTAGTGTGCGTGTTTAATAACCATTACTACTTGAAACTTAATTAGATAAATAATGTTTTTGACATAAGAACTATGTAAATGTTATGTAAAACTTGCTCAAAATTCTACTTGCCTTGCCTCAGAAACCCTTTATAAGCTAACCAATCGTCTTGCTAATTTTCCTCTATTGTTCCTTTGACTTCACTTTCACATAAGAAACGTCCCTGACAATAAAAGTGCATCGATATTAGTAGTAAGAAACATACAAACATCTTCATTATCATTGCAAAATTTTGTTTACTAATTTATTTATGAGTTTTCAGTTGTTTTGAGGAGAATACCAAATGCATTAATAAGGCGATTTAGGTAGCCATGCCTCTTACTATGATCTTTTGCACAGTCCTGCTATAGAGTCTTTTAGTTGATTGTCAATTATCACAATTGTTGATTTAACGAGTAGGTAAAAAAGATTAAACTTTAAAAAGTGCAAAAAATGACTAATTTAAGATGCTTATACATGTTTGATGTTCCAAGTACTTTTACAGCTTGATCCCGCACTTTGAAAGATGTTAAGCCAGTTTCTCTTAGTAACTTTGTAGCTAAACTAGTTCCTGCCATAATCGGGTCAAAATCAACAGATGGTTTAATGCATTGATACCATTAAAGAAAGCCTATATTGATATATAAGTTGATAAACAAAACCTCCATGATTTTGAAGTTATTATACGTTTGACCATACAAATGAACTCAATGCATCTGCCAAGTTATTATAGATGTGATGGATCACTTTTGTTGAAATATATAATAACAGATGCATTATTATATAATAAATTAATAATCACTATGACAAGACTAATTATAGTCAAACTTTCACCTTAACATTATCTTGCAAGTATGGCTTTTCTCTTATCAGAAATCTTGTCCCACTTGGAGATGTCCAAAAATTAGTATCACTCTCATCAACTCACTCTTCCCTACACATATCAAACCAGAAAAATGGATATGATCAATAGTAACTAGAGGTACAAGTGGATGTTACATACCATATGTTGCCCATTT